TCGGCTTGCTTTTAAAGCGCTATTTAAAGAACCCTTCTTTCCCCGCGCTGGCTGTTGTCACCCTGTTGATGACGTCAGTGACGTGGTTTAATCGGGCACGGCTTAGTCGAGCGCAGTTTTGACGGGTCACGCCTAGATTTGGCATTCATTGATCAACTACCTCTAAATATGGGTTAGGAGGCTATCCTTTACAATTGCATGTGATTAAGTGAGACAGCTTTGCTTCATGGCCCACTAGAACTAGAATCAGAATAGAGTTGGAATGGATCTTGGAGGTCTTCTAGTCCAGCCCCCTATCCTCTGCTTTCCCTGATGTGGCCATTAAATGGATATCCTGAACCTCCCAAGGACTCTCCTACTGCCTGAGGCATTCCATGCTCTGTTTCCTGCTCCTTGTGATACTCTCCATTCTTGGCTTTCTTCCCATCCAGCTACTGAGCCATCCAAGGAAGCCTGCCCATCATAGCATCTGCAATGGTAGCAATGGTGTTGCCCAAATATAGGCTCCCTTAGGTGGCTGGATGGTAAATAGGCCAAGACCTGTGGGGATCCAATGGGATTGGTCAGAGATAGATGGGGGGCTGTTGCAGCAACCCTGTTTAGTTGTGAACAACCACAGGGATATTGCAGTGGCTGTAACTTTGAAACCAGATCAGAGGTGGTATTCAGCAGGTTCTGGAGAACCGGTAGCGAAAATTTTGAGTAGTTTCGAGAACCGGCAAATACCACCTCTGACTGGCCCAGTCCCCATCTATTCTCTGCCTCCGAAGTCCCAGCTGATCAGGAGGGAATGGGGATTTTTCAGTAACCTTCCCCTGGAATAGGGAGGGAGTGGAGATTTTACAGTATCCTTCCCCTGCCACGCCCACCAATCCATACCCACAGAACCAGTAGTAAAAAAAATTTGAATCCCACCACTGATTTCTGTGTTTGAGTGCTGAGTGTCCAAACAATTTATTCCCATATTACATTCAAATACAACCCAAACTCAACAGAAAATCATGTTTTATATGGCTAAACATTTTTTTTTAGATTTGTGTTATTAATACATAAATCTTTCTACTGTATATCTTTCATCTCTATGTTGTCAAGTTTCTAATGATCATGAATTGTTACTGATCAATTGAGGACCAACCCTAAGAACCAACAGAGAAGGCTGATCCAGGATGTTGAGAAGGCATGAACTTGAGAGAACTTGACTTGAGAGAGATGCGTAGGTTCTTGACTGTGAAAAGAAAACTTAAAGAATAGGTCTGAATATGGAAAGTTTTGGCAAGAGACTTCAGTGCAACATTTGAGCCATTTAATTGTGGAAGTCATGAAGTGCCATGATATATTAAATGGGATTCAATGTGGTTTCTTTGATGTCCTTGTTGTGGTATGTCATGGCTCTTAGGGCTATCCAAAACATTGAAGAAAGGTATTTTGCAAAATATATTAGGGGAGTAAAGGAGTGAAGGTTTAGGGTAATGGACAAGTGGACAATGAACAAACTATACCATGTTATTCTCAACAGCATTGAATGCAATGGAGAAATTATTAAGGAAAGTGTTTGGATTACTTTTCCAGCTAGTACTCTCAGAGTCAAGGTGTGGTGCTGCTAATGTGGAGAATTTAAAAAAGTGCATCTCATCTTTCAGGAAAGCAACATAGGTTAGTGGGGCAGGATATCTGTGTGCAGAAGATTCCAGGTTTGAATCTTGCCAATTCTGGTTTTAGAGGCAGGTAGTCTGGGATCCTAATAAAGGTCTCTTACTTGGAGATAAAAAGTACTGGACTGTGAGGCCAAATAGATCTGCAATATTTCCACTTGGACCAGAAGCCAAGTTAAGGCACTGTGTGTACTCATGCATAGGCCAGGCAACTGAGATCAGCTTCCAAAACAGCCCTATTACCCCACAAAAGGATGGTGCTATTTTAATGCTTCGAAAAGTGATCCTTCACTCCCCTAATATATTTTGCAAAATATCTTTCTTCAATGTTTTGGATAGCCCTAAGAGCCATGATAAAAGGCCCCGGAATGTAGCTGTGGGAGCTAGTTCATATAAAGTAGCTTTTTTTCCTGATTGGCCAGCAATGTATTATTTACATTCTAATCCTGCTTTCCTCACAGCATTCACTTTCCCTTAGTTCTCCATTAATGGATGCCATAATAAATATGTGAAGGTTTATGGGTCAGAGAATGTGTCAGAAATCAGGAAATGTCTATATCCTTCATTTTATTTTGTAATCAATAATTTTAGATTGCTTTATTACATACCAGAAATGGTTACCTGGGTTTTTTCATTGACTTATACATTTGGAAATCATTAGGATCATTTAAAAATTAGTCAGAATTAGTCTTGGGTTACTGATAAAGTTACTACTGGCAACAATCTGAGATAGACCAGAAATGAATTTCTGTCTTATCTGAAGATATAGAGATAGAGGCAATAGATTATATGACTAAAGTAGAACAACTCCATGAAACTCCATTCCATAAACATGTATAGATATTTTTCTTCTTGGCAGAGAAAAATAGCATTTCCATACTCTATTTTTCTCATAGTTTTTCCTGCTGACTGGAAATATATATCTGGCCAAACCAGACATTAAGCAAGTCATATTTCTTACTTGAGCCTTCAGATTTGAGTTTCTGGAGCCTCAAATTGGAAAGACATAAATCGATTAAAGAAACATCTTTAATATATATCTTGGAAAGATATATCCCACATTACACCAGCAACTTTCTTCCAACCCTTCTTTCCTCTGTACTTCTGAAGAAATTCCCCCAAATGTATTTCTGGAGCAGCCCCATAGAAGATTTAGACATTGCTCAGGGGGAAGAAGGAGTGTTTTCCATCACATGGGCTGCCAGCCAGCATGCAATGCAAACCATAGAAACACTGCACTGAACACAATCTCATTTAATCCAAGATTTTGGTTCGAGCAATGATCATAAGATATTCCTGGGGAATTTCCAAGCACAAATGTAGGGTTGAGCTTTCTTGTATATATACTTGTTCCTAGATTGGTTCCACCACAAAACCGCGCTCGACTAAACCGCGTCTGACTAAACCGCGTAGCTGATGTCATCAACAAGGCGACAACAGCGCGGAGACAGAAGCACGCTGTAAACCCTAAACCTAAAATTAACCCCTAAACCAAACCTAACCCCCCCCAAACCTAATCCTAAACCTAACCCTAAACCTAACCCTAAACCTAACTCTAAACCTAACCCTTAACCTAACCCTAAACCTAACCCTAACTCTTAACCTAACCCTAAACCTAACCCTAACCCTTAACCTAACCCTAAACCTAACCCTAACCCTTAACCTAACCCTAAANAAGTAGCCTGCTGTGCTGCATTTAACCACTGCGCCACCTCGGCTCTTTAACCCCAAAGTGAGCATACACTTTGGGGTTAAAAACAGCAAATTCCATTCCATTCTTCTCATAGTTATACAACTGAGATGTTGAAACTGGGATATATCCATGTTGAAGCAGCAGCCTCACACTGTGAAGATAATGTATGAATCAACTTTAGATTTCCACCCTCAACTACCATCTGAGGTTTTTGGCCAAAGAAAATAATATATATATAAAATGATCTTCTGGTTTTCCAATTACAGTGTATGTTTTTATGCTTACTGTGCAAAAAGCAAACACTGCTTACATTTCTGGCATTTGAACATTAATTTGAAATTAGTGGATTGTGAGATAAGCCAAGCCAAAATTTCCAGTCAGGATGCATAGAAATGGCAGGAGAGATGCGGCACAAAATAGAATTATGGGTTATATAACAGAATCTTTTAACAAGACTAATTCATACCTTACTGTATGAGCTCAGCTAATTCCATTCTTCCCCAAAGGACTGGGGAAGATATCCCTCTAAACCAATGATGTCCAACATCTTGACTTGACTGGGCCATTGAGTGAAGATGTATTGTCTTGGGCCAAATATAACATATATAATATAAATAACATATATAAATAACATACGTTCTTTATTTGTGGGGGGGGGGGTTGTGGGGCCACATTTCTAGCTGTCTAGGGCTATACGTGATCCAAAGGCTGTGGCTTGGATGTGATTGCTCTAAACCATACCTTATTGAAATTGCATTAAACAACCTATAGTTTAGAAGGCATAATAGCTTGGTGCATAATCAGAATTTTATTTGCAGGTTATGGTAGAAATGGGGTCCTATCACTGCAGATGCATGGATGAGGTTATGGATATACCCCAAATGACTAAAATGAATTATTTTAATATGATCCTTCCATACCAAGATTCCATGTTGTGAAATAGTTCTACCAAAGAAATAATACTTGCCCCAACTCTTTTAAACTTCCAGGAGATAATTGAAGTAGAATTCCTCTAGCAGAACTTTTTTTTTTTTACTAATTATTTGAGATGTAATTGTTCAGACAAGATCCTGTGCCTATATAATCTTTGTTTGGCCTCAGTTTCCATGTTACATTTCAATGGTACCCTAGAAATAGTTTTTTGCCTCTGCCGATCTAATTTGTAAAATGTGCTTATGTTACATTCCAAAATATTCAGAGGTTTTGGATAAAAGTTCTGTGGGTGTCATTTGCCACTTTCTTCTATAAAAACCTTCCTGAAACTATCCCAGTTTAACTCTTAATGGCCAAAGTTAAATAAAAGAAAGATTGTAAATGTGAAATATGCTGACTGATGAAGGCAAGAGAAATGAACCGATGTGTGGTATGTGTTGTGTATCTTCATCTTCACATCAGTTAAGGCTTTCACTTTTAGGATCCCGGTTTTCTGGGGTCAAGAATACTCAACTGGCAAGCCTGGACTTGTATTTGCAGCCTCCAGAGTCCACTTTGATTGCAAATCCTAAAAGTTGATCGCTGTTTTGACACAGGCAATTCGTAAAAACTATCATGTGGGTTATATAAAATAGGCTTCATCCAGTTAGTGAAGGTTGGTTGGGGTAGAGAAATCCCTTTAAGTCTATTCTGGGGTCGAGGAAGGGAATCCTGGCCTTCCCCAATTGGATCACAAGTTTGTATCTTACTCCCTCTCACTTTGGTCTGAGAACATTAAGTTAGTTAGCACTTAGACTTATATACCACTTTATAGGGCTTTTATGGCCCTCTTTAAGTGGTTTACAGAGTCAGCATATTGCCCCGAACAATCCGGGTCCTCATTTTACCCAGCTGGGAAGGATGGAAGACTGAGTCAACCTTGAGCCGGTCAGATTTGAACTGCTGAACTGT